ATGATAGTATGTACAATATTTATATCAATTGATTTAATGAAATACATTTTCTTTAATAAAATAAATTTTGTCGTCCTGAAAAGGACGGATTAATTGATAGTTAATTCTCCACGTATATGTATTCGTATTTTAATAAATAAAATAAAATAAAATAATTTAAGCCTTCTTTTCTGTTTTCTTTGGCAAAAGTACAGCCTGAATGTTTGGTAGTACACCACCTTGTGCAATTGTAACACCAGACAATAATTTGTTCAATTCTTCATCATTACGTATGGCCAACTGTAAATGACGAGGAATGATTCTTGTCTTCTTATTATCGCGTGCTGCATTGCCAGCCAATTCAAGAACTTCAGCAGCCAAATATTCCATAACGGCAGCTAAGTAGACTGGAGCACCTGCACCAACGCGTTCAGCATAATTGCCTTTACGCAATAATCGATGAATACGACCAACTGGAAATTGTAATCCAGCACGATTTGATCGTGACTTTGCCTTGCCTTTAACTTTACCACCTTTACCACGACCAGACATAGTTGAGTTGAGTTTCTAGTAGTTGAGATTTATAAAAATTGGATCTATTTTTTTTTAATGATGCCGACAAATTATCTCATATACTTTTTCTAAACGCAATTTAAAATAAAAAATTGCTTTAAACTTTCGTTTGAAAAATGTTTATATAGAAACGGAAATTGCTCCAAATCGACGATTAAAATTTAAAATCAGAAATCATGCCACCAAAAACTAGCGGAAAAGCAGCCAAAAAAGATGGAAAGGCTCAGAAAAATATAACCAAAAACGATAAGAAGAAGAAGCGCAGGAGGAAGGAGAGCTATGCTATCTACATTTATAAAGTGTTAAAGCAAGTCCACCCCGATACTGGTATATCATCGAAAGCCATGAGCATCATGAACAGCTTCGTGAATGACATATTCGAACGTATTGCTGCTGAGGCTTCGCGCTTAGCACACTACAATAAGCGCTCCACCATTACTAGTCGGGAGATTCAAACTGCTGTTCGTCTTTTACTTCCCGGTGAACTGGCTAAGCACGCAGTTAGTGAAGGAACAAAAGCTGTCACTAAGTATACTAGTTCCAAGTAAATTGCGTTATATCAAACAAACACCACTTATTCAAAAGGCCCTTTTCAGGGCCACAAAAATATTCAATTGAGTTGATAATTTATCTATATTATAAATATGTATAGAGCCCTGAAATTATTTACGAAAACTGACAGGCTTATCAACACCGCGTTATTGAATCTCAGAATGGTTACAAGCTCCTCGGGGAGGTATGCAGATCTGATAAAGTTATAAACAATAATCCAGACAAGGCGTAAAGAGGGGTTAAGAAGAAACCTCGTAGTTAATAGAAAGTAAAAGTGCTCAAGTGCACTGACTCAACTAGCCTCAACATAATAATAATATAAATATGATATATATTTTGTTTTTGATATTTCTTTTAAAAGGCTACTGATAGAAGAAAAAAATAAAAAAAAACTTTGACAGTCTCTTCATGAATTATCAGCTATCGTTTGGTTGTTAGTGAATAAATGATTCAATCAACAAATTAATTTCTGTCGGTTTTGAGGATCTTACAGTTTTTTAATCATGGATAATATAACCTGCTAAATAGAGTTAACTCTTGAATTAACGAGTCTTAATCCTTATCATCAGTCTTAGTACTATCATCGCTTTTAAATTGATATATTCTATATTTACATTCGTGCTTTAAATTTGAAAACATAAATATAGTATTTGTTCCTTGTCATTCATTCTATGATACCATACAATTTCATGGGATAGATAAGCTCTTTTACAACTCATTCCTTAAGCGTTCTTTTAGTAAGTTCAAGTCTTACATTATGGCTTCTGATGCTTTCTGCTTACAGCAAAAGAAAAATAAAATATATTGATTCAATTAAATGTTATGACGTGAAACATTCTATGTCTAATGATACACTATATGATACTAATAATAGTATACATATGATGCTAACATTATACATATTAATATATGTTATGCTACTTCTAATAGCAATGTCTATACTACATCTATATGATATAATTTATCATTATCTCTTTTCTTTGAATAAACTTACTATGCAACAATTGCATTTACATTTTGCTTATTTTATTTTCGTAGTCAAAAATAAGCAATTGAAAATAGTTAAGCAATTTCAAACCCTGGATAAGTCATGTCATTTATTTATCTCTTTTCTTTATATAATTTTGGTCCTGAAAAGGACCGATTTTTGTATATTTATAAAATTATATTGCTTCCAATCTTAAGCACGTTCTCCACGAATACGTCTAGCCAATTGAATATCTTTTGGCATAATTGTAACGCGTTTGGCATGAATTGCGCATAAGTTAGTATCTTCAAAAAGACCCACTAAGTATGCTTCGCTAGCTTCTTGAAGAGCCATTACAGCAGAACTCTGGAAACGTAAATCAGTTTTGAAATCTTGTGCAATTTCACGGACCAAACGCTGGAATGGCAATTTGCGAATCAAGAGCTCAGTACTCTTTTGGTAGCGACGAATTTCACGTAAAGCTACAGTTCCTGGACGATAACGATGTGGTTTTTTCACACCTCCAGTAGCTGGTGCACTTTTACGTGCGGCTTTGGTAGCCAATTGTTTTCGTGGTGCCTTACCACCAGTCGATTTACGAGCAGTTTGCTTTGTACGAGCCATAATTTATGAGATATGTTACAATATGGTATTTTAAAAAATAGCGCAATTGAATAGCTCAATTTTCTCATCATACCTGGATGTTCTGTTTCAACTATTCACATGTTTTAACATTCATTGTTTCTCATATTGCTTATTCTTTTTGTTTTGTTTTCTTTTGTTTTGTTTTGTTTTACTCAATCTTTTTCATATCTTTCATAGTGCTTATGTTTTCTATAAATAGTCGTCAATCATCCGTCGTCACTTCATTTATTGTTTGAATTTGAATTCGAACGGTTCTACCATATCTATAAAAATTTAAATACAAAATGACAGGTCGTGGTAAAGGTGGCAAAGGATTAGGAAAAGGTGGTGCTAAGCGTCACCGCAAAGTTCTTCGTGATAACATCCAAGGTATTACGAAACCAGCTATCAGACGTTTAGCTCGCCGAGGCGGAGTTAAGCGTATTTCTGGTTTGATTTATGAAGAAACTCGTGGAGTATTGAAAGTATTTTTGGAAAATGTGATCCGTGATGCTGTTACATACACAGAACATGCCAAAAGGAAGACTGTTACAGCCATGGATGTCGTATATGCTTTAAAGAGACAAGGCCGTACCTTATACGGTTTTGGAGGTTAAGCAAATAATCAATTATTGATTTAATAATGCAATAATATATTGCCCAATGGTCCTTTTCAGGACCCAAATAATCTTACACTTAAAGAGATAAATTTACATATATATGTGTTGGTATTTTTCTAATATTATAAAAAAAATAAAATTTATTATTAGCTTGGTCGATTGATGTCTGTCGAGTATAATTGATAATTAAAATGATCAGTTTAACAGAGTCCAAAATATTTATTATTATAATTCTCAATTTCTTTGTTACATTAGCAGTATATATGTGGACTAGCTTCTTACGGGCTTAATTATAATTCTCATTCAATTTTTTTATAGAATAAGATAAATAGAACTGACGTATATAAGTAATTTGCGGACTGTTAGATATTGCAGTTTGAAGTTTCCACACAATGGTGTGAAAATTTTCTCCATTCATTCCTAAGAGGTGGTTTTAGTGAATTCAAATCTCACACTGAATCTGAATCTTAATCTTAATCAAAATCCAAGTGTTCAACAAGCAAAATGATTGCGGGGAAAATGAAAGTGAAAAAAATTCGTATATGAATTAAGTGAATTATGACAATATTATATAAAGAAAAGAAATAAAAGAACTTGTTATTGAAATAAATTAGAATATTTTAAAATTATCTTTAAGTAATTTGCAGCGTCTTGCAAGTGAGTACCGAGTGTGGTGTGTTAGTTATAAATTAACAAGTGTAATTAGAAGCATTATATAATAATAAATAAAATTAGCATAAACCACTATTTTTATTTATTTAAAATAGAATTTAAAAATGAAATTAAGTGAATAAAATATATACAAGTGAGTATTTCATCAAATAAATGACATATTTTGATATATAATATTTTATGGTCATTACTATAATAAATAAATAATTGGATATTAAATATAATAGAATAAGATAAATATTTATTAACTTAAGAATGATGTGAAGTATTGCACATAATGTCTAAATAAGAGAATATAATTTTTTTAAATGCATAAAGAATTTTTGTTTGCTTATTAGAGATTAAATTTATAGCGCATTACAGAATAAAAGAATCTCTTCATATTATTCATGAGGTATTATTAAAAGAAATGATCGTGCACTATGACAAGGTATATTGTGCCCATTACTCGGGTTAGAATGTTTCTCCAAGTCCGTTTTCTTTAATGAAAGACAATATAAAGTCCTAGTCTTGAATATTTATGATCCATGAAATACCCTCCTAGGTGTTTATTCCGTTTGTGCATCAGTGGACACTACCCAAGCACATGGTATACAGTTTCTCTCTTCTCTACAGTATCTGCAGTCTGAGTTGGATTGAATTCCTAACTTCGATAGGTGATTATTCAATCTTTAGTGACCGGTCATTAATAAACGCAATAGGTATACCATATACTAAAACATTTTATAAAATAAATAAATAAATAAATAAATAATGAATCTTCTTATCTTCTTTTTACACATATTTTGTAGCCCTAAAAAGGGCTGTTTTGATGAAT